ATGAATCATGTATTTATTTATCTTATTAATTAATAACAATAACCTTCGCGTGGTATTTGTAGTCAACCAAGAATGTTACAAGCACATTATAATTGTGTGACATCATACTTATTGTAAAACATCTAATATATTATTTTATCTATATTATAAATCGATAATGTTTATTGTCTTTATTTCGTAAGTACTTGTTTATAATTCCAGTGATCGCACCTTGTAAACATCACCTACATTCCTTACACCCAACAGTACAGCATCAAAGAGATTCGTTTCGTATAACAGAACGGTAGTAAGTCTGATTTCAAAGAAAGTTTTTATTTGTACGTATTTCCGAACTCGCGACTGCTGTTTCCCCATATAAATAATTGTTATGACTGAGCCTAGTTGCGTATTTCACACGAAGCAGACGATTTGGCTTAACGAATGGCGTAATATTGCCAACAGTATGTCTTTCCACCTCACGTAGAGAACAGAAACATGTATTCGTCGGTAAAAAGAAAACAAACAGAAATTCTCCGAAAGTGTAGCGATCTCGCAACGTTCGTGCCGAGAGGGTTTTTATACAATCCTATATAAACAGGTGTTGCGCTTACACAAGCTATTTTACTATCATTCGACTCACGTTCTATTACTATTTTGTTTACAAACTCTTTGGAAGGTTTATTATTATTAAATCTTAGGCAATGAGTTCATGCTGCCTTACAAAAGTAGCGCATAAAAATGGGAGGGTCAAAACACTTTGTATTTTATAAATGTTACCTCGTTATAAGTAATGCGTTCTCCGCCGCATTCCATCTCTTTTGATTAATGTCATCAGAATCTTCAGCAGGTTTGTATACATTGAACGTTCTTTGTTCGGTTATCTGTAGTTATAATAAAGATGCAAATGCAAATCATTCTTCTTTGTTGTGTTTTTAAATTGTTTTATTTTCTAGCTTTGTGTTTTTTTAGATTTGTTTTTAAAATACACCTATGATGTACGAAGTTTATCGTAGTGCAAGGAATGACATTCCTTGCAGTTTAGTTTGCAAGAGTCTTTAAATATGCATAATTGTAGACATCGACATAAATGCAGCAAGAACGATGGAGTAACACTGAAGTGGCTGGTAAGTTCAATAAAAATAAAGTGGGTATACTAAATGTCTACGTATGAATTAATAATCTGAATGTTTTGGTCATAACTTAGAACATAAACAAACAAATAGCAACGTTAGTTTTAAAAATTACTAAGTTGCCAAAGGTTGCCAATTACCAATAATTGCAACTCCGATGTGAAAATTTATGTTTACACAGTGTATCATTAAAACGTCGTTCAAGTATAAGGTACTCTAGTCTTAAATTTTATGAATTTAACAATTAAAAAACTGTAGGTCTAATTTTTGTATTTTCCTCCAAACTGTGTTCCAGCTTCGCCTGGGCAAAGAACATACGTCTCATATATTTGTTGTCATATTCATACCCTTCCCGTTAATATACAATATAGCCATGTTACTTAATGATAATGTAACTTTCTGATGGCGAAAAATTTTTTTCAAATCGGTCCAGTAGATTAAAGTCTATTTTTTATACAATGTGGCAAACGAGAAAACGGCCACTTGAAACTGCCGAAATGGCGAATCAACCACTGCCCATAGAAATCAGCAATTGCAGATACATTGTCTACCCTTGATCGACGGAGGAGGAGACAAAAAAGAGGATATTTCTTCTTCCTATGCGTCCACCGTCAAATACACTTTTCCTTGCCATCTTCTCCTTTTATGAAAGGGTAAAAAAGGGAAAGGGACTAAAATTAGGCCCATACAATGTAATCAACATTAACTTAAAGTCGGATCCTTTGCCTTCATAGTCCTGTTTAGTAAATCAAAGCAGAGCTTCATAGAATTTTAACCTCACGGTCGTTCGGCACTTTGAACATTATGAGGGATTTTATTATCCATTTTTAAGTTGTTCTTTAATTTCGGGCACGTAACCTGTATCCAATGACAGAGCGTCAATAAACTTAGTGACACGCACCACGGCTCGGCGACTGAGAATATGAAATTAACTTGTAGTCAAGTGGAGCCAGACGTTATGTGTAATTTATTCATGCAAATCGTCTCCTGTGGGAACGAAACGAACATCTTGATCAGCTCTTTTAAATATATTACAAAATTGAATTCATTAGGAGTCTATATTTAAAGCGTGTTTAATAAATATTGATTGCACGATTTAGATGGTTAAATTGTATAATTAATTGAATTAAATGCAACTAGCTTTCGCCCGCGACTCCTTCCGCGTGGAATAAAAAAAAAACAAAAGTGAG